ACAAAGGGGTCTCAACCTGAATAGAAGACAACATGCAAAACGTACCTGAAGTGGGCATGTGTACCTAAGCCTAACAGGGTATACCTCTACCATCATAGCCAGCTATGCATCCCACTGCATATATACTCCCTAACCGTCAACTCTGAGACTCAAGCTCATATCGCGGTATCATAAAATATATTTGAAATCCTTCTAAACCAAGGTAGTGCCGCTCAACTGTTCGTTGCCAAGACACCACATAGAAGTAGGATTTAAATGTTATAATTAAATCCATTTCCTAAATCCAGAATAGGTAGGAGTTAACATTTTGATCTAATCCAAACCTAATTTGCCACCGTCCCATACAGGTGCATATAATCCACATAAATCCATATAATTGATAAAACTGATAAAACAGTTCAACCATTAAATTCCAGAATAGGTAGAAGTTAGCGTTTTGATCTAATCCAAACCTAATATGCCACTGTCCCATACCAGTGCATAAAAATCCATATCATCCATGTAATTGACAGAACAACATTTGATGGTTTATCAATTGAAATCCAGAACTCCATCCATGTAATTGACAGAACAGAATTTAATAGTTCGTCAATTAAAATCCAGAACAATATCCATATAATTGACAGAACAAAATTTAATAGTTCCTCAATTAAAATCCAGAACAACATCCATATAATTGACAGAACAGAATTTAATAGTTCGTCAATTAAAATCCAGAACAACATCTATATAATTGACAGAACAGAATTTAATAGTTCATCAATTAAAATCCAGAGTAAGTATAAATAAAGCATAATATGTATATGACCATATTATGCATCCAACACAGATTTTTAAAAAAATCACGTCCAAGTTTTTAAATCACTAAATAACATTAAGCAATTTATTCCTCCATGTCCACTAACAGCATGCAAATTTATTTAAACATCCATACTGTTCAAATCAATAGCATATAGATAAAGATTATGCATCACGGGATCCTAAAATGTCATGAAAATAATTTAGAATTTCATTTACCAACCCTAAACAGTCCTAAAATCCCAAAAATATCAAAACCGTGAAAAAAAAAAAAAAAAAAAAAAAAAAAAAAAAAAAAAAAAAAAATTCCAGAAAATTACTATGCAAGAGAGCTTGCTCTCAAAAATGAGAGAGCAAGCTCCTGCACAAGTGAGCCAGCTCCCTAACCTTAGGAGCCGACTTTGTGACTAAGGGAGCTGGCTCCCTATTTCTATGGAGCCGGCTCTCTCTCTCACAGAGAGCAGTGGGCAAAAATACTTAGGGAGCCAGCTCCAACCCGTTGGGAGCCAGCTCTGTCCCTGTTTCCTGTTGTCATCTTCATCTCCAATAATGTTTAAAACCCTCTGTAAGGTTTCGTTTAGGTCCCCAAAGGTCCGTCCATGTTCCAAAACTATCCCAGAAACTTTTTAAAACATAGTATGTAACATAACAACAATTAAACAGAATACGAAACACTTTGATCAACAATTAAATTTCAATTAATCAATATATCATATAAAGTTTAAAGTCTGAATTACATGCATATAACAACAGTTTTAAAGTCCAATTTAATCCTGAAGATTATTTAGGCATGTACAGAACACAGGTCAAAGGAAAAGAGCAAAAAATAGAACTTGCCTCTGATTTCAGTTTTGAAACCTTAACGTCGTCTTCCTAATTTTTTCAGCAATCCGAGACTATTCTTAACTCCTTTATTGCTCCTCGTTAGCAAGCTTCCAATACCTCTCCTCGGTTCAGCCTTTGTTCCTAGCCAAACCCTAACTTTCCCTCTCTCTGTTTTTCTCTTAAACCTCACTGTTTGTGAATTCTCTGTATATGTGAATAGGGTTTTCTTAACCCTAGGCAGACTTATAATGACATATTTATAGGCTTCAAATAAAACCTAATTCTAGTCATGTGAGGAGTCGACAAAGAAAAATATAACACAAATATAAAATACATATATGTATATAAGTCGGCAATTTTAATGAATACATATAAAACCCAAACACATTATATTACATATATAAAAATAATGAAACTAATTTAATTATTAACAATTTCTAATAATTAAACTAACCCAAAATACATATATACCCATACATACATGTATATCCATCCATGGGTAAAACTGTACCCAATTATCTTCCAATCCAAGTAGTCTATGTGACTCGAACGGTTGGTTCATTACTACTGTCCCAAATCCAACTCCATTTTAAAATTAACAATAAAATTAAAAATAAAACAATTAATCAATTAAAACTAACAAATACATTACAAGAAATTTCCCACAATTTAACACACAATTAAAACACATAATCCAAATAAACAATCAATCAAATACACATATAGTCAAATAATAATCAAATAAAAATGCAGAAAAAATAAAATTTAAAAGTCCAATTATATCCTTTTGAAAATGAAGGGTATTACATCACCAAAAAAGTAATAAAAATAATAATTTGTGTAATTGTATCAAACAACAATCATATTAAATCATGATTAAAATATATATATATAATATTTGGCCAATACATATTTATCTCATTAGAATAGAAAAAGGATAAAAAATCTAAAAAAACCCTAGAATTTAGGGCGATGATTGGAAAAGATAAGATCAAAAGAAATTGATGAATCAAACTATTTTTGTTAAAAAATAAAAGATGGTCAAGCAGTTCTTACCTTGCTGCCAGTTGTAGATTCTTCTTTATGACGCTCTAAAAGTGGAAAACAAAGAGGCGTAAAGGAATGAGAGAGAAGAAAGAAAACTACGAGTGGGAAAGGGGGAGAAGATAGAAAATATGCTTATGTGGCGGTGTAAAAGGGCGGTGTAAAATACAAAACCCTTTTACACATTGGTGATGTGGCAGTGTATTTTAACAGACTGTTGGAAATGAAAAAAATTTGCAAATCATATCTGGCCATGTATATTTTATACAGAAGAGTTTTTTAACATACCACTAGAGATGCTCTAAAGATTGAAAACCTACATGTGACTTGAATTGTGGAAACTAGGGTTTCTTAGATGGGATGACTTAGCTTAAATTGGAAACTTACTCCATTTGTATGACTAACTTATATAGAGACTTAAATAAAAATAATAATTGAACTTTTAAGAAAGGAAGTACTTTGGCAATTTACCTTTTTTAAAAAAAATACTTTTGAATTGGAATTAAAAAGAATGACTTTTAAGAAAGTCATATTTTGATTTTATTTATTTTAAGAAATATAATTTGAACTAAAAGGGAATGATTTATAAGAAAACCATATGATTGATTTAATTTCCTGGTGAGAAATAGAATTTGAATTAAAGTGAGAATGATCTTTAAGAAAATTATATGAGTGATTTAATGGATTTTTAAGAAAATCATGTGTTTGACTTGTAGAGCTCTGAAAATAGAATTTAAATTGAGAGAGACATTATACCTGAAAAATATGATTTTCAAGAAAGTAATATGCCAGAGTCTAATTTTTGTGAAAGATAAAGTTTAATTTTTGAATAAGATTTATAAGAAAACGATGTATTACATTTGAATAAGTTTCGAAAAGATATTTAAATTTTCAAAGAGACCTTTTTGGAAGAATACTTTTTGGAAAAGACTTTGAGTTCTTACTTTTAAACTATTCTATTTTAAAAATATATATGATAATTAATAAAACTTAAAAATATATTTTAAGAAACGTACTTTTAGGAAGGCTTTATTTTAGAAAAGTTTGATTTAAAAAAATATAACTTTTATGGATATATTAGTTTAGGAAAATATTTATTTTAAGAAGGAATTTTAGGAAAGCTTATTTAAGGAAAATTTTATTTTAGGACATATGACTTTTATGGAAGTTTTATTTTAGAAAATATGACTTTTAGAAAAATATTTTTTCGTTAATATGAGTTTTAAGATACTTGCACTTTAAGAAAATTTATTTTTAGAGAGAATAATTTTTGGAAAACTTATGTTTTAGGAAACAGGATTTAAGAAAGTATTATTTTTAGGAAAATTATTTTCTTTTTATGAAAGTTTTAATTTTTAAAAGATTTGACTTTTATAACCAAAATTTGTAAAATTGACCTCTTGGCACTAAGTTGGCCTAAAAATTAAATGAATTATTTTTAGTTTAATATGGAATTTGATACTAAATTTTTAGTTTAGAATTTAATGTTTTCTTAGAATTGAAAAACAGAAAAGGTTTGTTTTTATGAAAACATAGCACGCCAGATTTTTAATGACCTTTGCTGGAAATATTTGAATCTTAGGATTCCAAAAATATTTTTTTGGTTTTTATTTACTCTAGGTTATTTTAGAAACCTATGCCTAAAATATATGTATTTTAGGTGAGAAGAAAAATTACTGATTTTTTATTTTTATTTTTATTTTTATTTTTTATTTATCAAATATATTAATTTAATGATAATTTTAAAAACAAATTTTTAAAAGAGCTTTGAATGATTTTTAGTAAAGCCGGAGTTTATTACTTTAGACAACATAAAGTGAGTGTGCGCAATACAAAGACCATGACTTTGAAACGTTTTATTGGTAGCCAAAACAAGGATATTGAGACCCCTACAAGAGTCATTGAGCATGGATGACTATCATGACAACTAGGGTGCCATGAAGCCATCATGCTCGTATATAAAAATAATTGTGTAAAATATAAAAAATAAAAGAATTATTTTTATTTTTATTTGGATGAATGCACACACAACAATAATATTGGGTTTGCACAAAAATTATCCTGTCAGGAAAATAAAGGTTTGAAAGGTAGGTTGAAGGGAACTCATCATTCTTTAACCCACACTGAATACACGGGGCGGAGCTACTGAAGGCTAACCTAGGTTCGAATTTTTTTTTTCTTTTTTTTTTTTGAGTACTATTGTACATCAATTTGCAACCCGGTCCATTTGTAATACTACTCTTTCTCTTAGCCCGTTCCATATCCAATACTACTTTTCCTCTTAGTCTAGTCCAGTTTGGAATCCTGACTCCGCCCCTGCAGATTCAGGACCCATGAGAGCCACGGTGTACACTATATCTTCAAGGGTACCATGCCTAAGAATGTTGAGGGTTAATGCACACGAACATGGGTCATGCAAAGAAAGAGTATGAGTAGAGATATATGCATAAGAGCAATGGTGAAAATATACTTTACTAGCTTTCGGCATAGGAAGTTTTGATTGCTAAAATAATTTGATATATACAAACTTTATAGATTTAGAGATGGAACACAGGAACATGTAAAATAGCGGTACTTTGTGTGGGTTTACTTTACGTGGAATTTGGGTTGGCTTAAACTTAGAAACCAGACTTCACTAAAAAAAAATTAAGGAAAAAATAATAATAATTGAACTTAAATTAAATGAACAAAATAATACTAAAATAAAATAAGTTTTGAATTATTACTAAATTCTAATATAAATGAATATTATTAAATCTCGTGAGTTTTAATTATTCTAAATATAAAAAATAGGTGTTGTTAGTTTATTTTATGTAATATTTGTATATTTTAACTTTTTATTTTTATTTATATTTATATATATATATATATATATATTATTTTAAGGTGTTGTGCCGTAATGGAATCTGCATTGATATTTCCATAATATTTATAGTCATTATTAGAACTTTCCTAAAATTGTTCCAATTTGTTTCTTTGGAACGTAAGCTTGACGCAACTCTTCTACCATATAGAGGGTCACCGAACCAGTCCGCTTAGATTTCAATATTAGACTATTTTTTACTCTCTTTCTCTCTCTCTCTCTCTCTCTCTCACACACACACACACACACACTTTTTCAACCTCGCGTCAACGGAACATGTCGACCGGCGGCCCCACGACCACCCTTACTATCACTGGCGGCGCCACTACCACCACCATCAACGGCGCCGCCACCACCACCACCATCAAAGGCAGCTCCACCATCACCATCAACGCCCGCTCCACCACTATAGACACGGTTCTCACCCTCCAAACCCTACCCGAACCCACCAATTCCACACCTCCGACAACATCGACTCCAACAACAAAGGCCACTTGAACTCCATCGTCGATCGCATCGCCAATCAACACCACGAACACCAAAGCAACTGGTCATCCCCTACCTCCAAATCATTCATCGATTCGCTACCAATCCTCAAATTTCTAGCTGTTTCTTCATCCAATTCTTGCCCTAGATCCTGCTCAATCTGTACGAATGACTTCGAATTTTTTTCAGAGGTGAATCAATTGCCTTGTAAGCATGTTTTTCATCCAGATTGTATCGTTCCGCTCCTTCGTAGGAGCAATTCGTGTCCCTTGTGTCGGTATGAGTTGAGATTGGGGAATTTTCACGTGGAGGGATGGGGTGTGAATCAGGGGAGCGGTTTTCATGATGCAAGGTTAAGGAATGGGTTTGTTCAGGCAAGGATACGGTCGTCTTCTTCGTCGGTGTCCTCGCGTAACGGGCAGATTGGGAGTGGTTTGGAGGCGGCTGGAAATAGTGAAGACTCGGTTTCAAGCCCTTTGGTGCAAAGGGAGAGTGATGCTACGGTTGATGAAGATGGTGACATTTTCATGCTTGATTCATGACTCCTTTTGGGACTATACAGTCTTTTTGGTATGTTTTTTTTTATTTTTTAATTTTCGTGACCTTCTGGTGCTTGATAGTTGTATTAATTCTTTATATGAGATGAAATTTCAAAGAGATCGAAGTTGTAAATCTTGGGTACAAATTGAAAGAATTTTATGTTGTGATTGATTGTAGTTTGAAGTTTTGGTTGAAATAACATATAGTTAAAAGAATTTTATGTTGTTCTTGGTATTTTGATATGTTAACTAGAAGCAGAACACCAATTCTCATCTATATCAACTGCATGGTTTAAACTTATCAGCAAAAAAAAAAAATGTATTGCCTGGTTTAAACCTAGGGAGGTGGACAAGACACAAATTTTACTGAATCAGAGTCAATTTGTGATAGCAACAGTTGCTATTATGACAGAAAATTTTACGTAAAGTTGTGATTGCAACAGTTGCTGTTATTTAGAAATAATAGATGGCACTGGAAATTGACCTAGTCATGCCCTATTATATTGGGCCAAGTGTTGAAGAGACGGTAGCTAGCTTGATGTTGATTTTCTAGGTCGATGTACTCATGGGCAGAGCCAGGAATTTTAATTTGGGGATCAGATTCGTACTCTGTAAATTAAATTTGAAATTATAAGCATATATGATATTATTGTTGTTTCTGACAGACACACAAATACTATAGTTTATCCTCTTTCCCATGCTCCTAGGACTCCCCAATGGAGATTTGATATATAGTTTTAGATATATTTTTTAAACACCCTTTTACAAAAAGCTTTGACAAAAAAGGTTAATGCATTTTTATTAATCAAGCGGGAATATTAGAGATTTTTTTTTTTAATTTTTTTTTTCCTCTATTGAATTAATATAATAATGTTTGGGAGCACCAAATCCTCTGATAACAAATCCAAAACGCTGATTCGGTTTAAACTAAATTTCTTCCAATTCCGAATTAATTACTATTTAGGGGTATTAACGATTTTTTTTTTTTTCCGAATTAATTACTTTTGGAAGTCAAATGGAATTTTAGCTATAAGTCAATTAAGCTTCCATTATTATATCAATTATAATGGGATTTTAGATATATGGTTTTTTTTTGTTTAAAGCAAAGTATGTCATAATGCCAAAGATCCATTGAGTCCTCTGCATTTGGTTGAGCTGTGTGTAGAACAGAGTTTGCTTGCTTGATTTTACAAGTGTGTGAGTTCTTGAGAAAAAAATGTTTCTCTTACTCTGTATATTCTCCATAAATCATGTCCCTCAAGCTATTCTTCATGTGCCTTTATAACCTGTAATTTCTATTGTTAGTTCACATGGCACAAACGTGTAACCCCATTTTTATTTGCTACAATACTTAAGCCCTAGAGGGTTTAATTTCAATTTGTCGGCTAATTTAGACATGTCTTTTGGTTCAATTTAATGGAGTGTTAGGTCATTAGGACTTAGGATGACAAATTTTGTAGAACAAAGCTGAGTCTATATTTTGTTTTAATTTAGTTTTGAAACTGTTCAAAAGTTAGTTGGTGTTAGTTACCTCCCAAGGTCAATGAGATTCGTGATGTATTCAAGGGTGTATTGGTAATCTTTGTCTGCAAGGGTGTAAAGGTAAAGTGACACACTGATGCACTCACCAATTAGGGTTCGTGAATTGCTACAATACTTAAGCCGTTACTTCCGAGTTCCGAGTCCTCTATGAGTGAACTAAAGGGTTTAATTTCAATTTTGTCGGCTAATTTAGACATGTCTTCTGGTTCGATTTAATGGAGTGTGTTAGGTCATTAGACTTGAGATGACAAATTTTGTAGAATAAGCTGAGTCTGTATATTATTTTAATTTAGTTTTGAAACTGTTCAAAAGTTAGTTGGTGTTAGTTACCTCCCAAGGTCAAATATGAGATTCATGATGTATTCAAGGGTATATTGGTAATCATTGTCTACAAGGGTATAAAGGTTAAGTGACACACTGATGCACTCACTAATTATAACAACATATTGAACAACATATTGAGAGCAGATTTTTTGAATTTTGAGTGCATCTCTATTTTGTTTTACATTCTTCATCTGCATGAGTTGGTGAATGTGACACCAATTGTTGCATACACAAAAGATCATTTCAACGCTACAGTACAATCCACAACCAGATTGACATCTGAGTGGTTGAGACAGATTTCACTAGAGAAGTAGGTTCGTGAGGAGCAAACTCTGTTGATGAGGAGAAGAGCTGCCTGGAGACTTTTAGAGTATTCTATGCCAAGGGAGGTAACTTAATGATCCTTGGGGTAGAGTCTGTCAACCTAGGTTGTAAATCTTCTTTCTTGATAGTGGATTTGGTTTGCTTGGGCTAGGTCCCGTCATTTTTCCCTTTTAGAATTTTCACGTAAAGATCTAGTGGCTACTGTTTATTGCTTTAAATGCTTTGGAATGCTTAAAGCTTTTACTGCACGCTAGATCTTTAAGATTGAATTTCAGATAATTCTGTTTAAATTTAAAAATTAATTAGAATACTTATAAAAAATTTAAAATTAGTTAAAACAGTTAATTAGAATTACAAGGCCTAGTCACTCCCCTTTAGGTCTAAGTTAGTGAACTTGCATCTGTCAGAGCCTTGGGTTCCTGTCTTACCAACCCTCAGAGTGGAAGTGCTATCATGAGAGCTTCATTGTTTAAATAGTTTTGAGAGCAGTAGTTTCTCTAGAGTACACAGCGTATATATTTGTACTTAATCTCCTTAATATATGGTAATATTAATGTATTACATATAATTTTTTATCCATTTTTTTTCAATAAGTCAAATCCAAAGAGTACATTTAAATATATAGATGTAATTATTTATTATTGATTTAATGTGATAAAAAGATAACACGGTTAGTAAAAAATTGTATGCAATGGTCTCACGAAAGAGTAGTTCAGTATGAAGTACGATGATCTTCATGTCATGTCATTCTGGACTACTCCTTGTGGACTCAAGACTATTGGAACATCCCTATGCATGCCTGTATGATGATTTTTTTTATTATTATTAAATATCACATGATGACTAGAAGAAGAATCTTGCATTGATTTTATTGTTTTAATGTACAGGTTCTGCATGTGGTCTCCGTTATCATTTTTTTGCATTTGTTTCTGTTAGCTATATAGCCTATATGTTTTTTTTGTTAAAAGCAAAGTATGTCATAATGCCAGAGATTGACTCCTCTGCATTTGGTTGAGCTGATGAGTATAGAACAGAGTTGCTTGCTTGATTTTACAAGTGTGTGAGTTCTTGAGAAAAATGTTTCTCTTACTCTGTATATTCTTCATAAATCATGTCCTTCAAGCTGTTCTTCATGTGCCTTTATAACCTTTAATTACTATTGTTAGTTCACATGGGACAAGCATGTAACCCCATTTTTATTTGCTACAATACTTGAGCCCTAAAGTTTAATTTCAATTTTGTCGGCTAATTCAGACATGTCTTTTGGTTCGATTTAATGGAGTGTGTTAGGTCATTAGGGCTTAGGTTGACAAATTTTGTAGAACAAAGCTGGGTCTATGTTTTGTTTTAATTTAGTTTTGAAACTGTTCAAAAGTTAGTTGGTGTTAGTTACCTCCCAAGGTCAAATATGAGATTCGTGATGTATTCAAGGGTACATTGGTAATCTTTTCTACAAGGGTGTAAAGGTAAAGTGACACACTGATGCACTCACCAATTAGGGCTCTTGAATTGCATATCTAAGGTTTCGGTGTTTATGTTAATTGAATTAATTAGATTCCCTAAATTGCTATAAACTTGCATGGAAAAGATTTTGGAAACTTTCTTAAAGAAAATGTTTTAAGTTAAAACCTGCTGGAGAATTCGATGGGTTGAGGTATCGATCGAAGCCTTCTGGAGAGATGTTGATTGATTGACATCAATATGTCAATCTCGATTGATCGAGCTGTTCAAAACAATAGTTTCCAACTTGGTTTTAAACTTTGCAATAACCTAACCTGTCACTAATACTTTTCTGTCTATAAATACATGATTCTAGGGCAGACTTATAGAGATCTCTCATACACATAGAACAACATTTTGAAAGCAGATTTTGTGAGTTTTGAGTGCATCTCTATTTTGTTTTACATTCGTCATCTGCATGAGTTGGTGAGTGTGACATCAATTGTTGCATACTCAAAATATCATTTCATCGCTACCATACAATCCACAACCGGATTGACATCTGAGTGGTTGAGACAGATTTCACTAGAGAAGTAGGTTCGTGAGGAGCAAAACTCTGTTGTGAGCAGAAGAGCTGCCTGGAGACTTTTTGAGAGAAAATTTGTAGAGTATTCGATGCCAAGGAGCTAACTTAATGATTCTTGGGGTAGAGCCTGTCAACCTAGGTTGTAAATATTCTTTCTTGATAGTGGATTTGGTTTGCTTGAACTAGGTCCCGACATTTTTCTCTTTTGAAATTTTAAAGTAAAGATCTTGTGTCTATTGTTTATTGCTTTAAATGCTTAAAGTTTTTACCACATGCTAGATCTTTAAGATTGAATTTCAGTTAATTCGGTTTTAATTTAAAAATTATTTAAAATACTTATAAATTTTTTATAAAAAGAGTTAATTAGTTTTACAAGACCTATTCACTCCCCTTTAGGTCCAAGTTAGTGACCTTGTGTGACTCTCTGTCAAAGCCATGGGTTGCGGTCTTACCAACTCTCTGAGTGGAAGTGCTATTCAAATTTCATCCTTTTGAATAGAAAATCTTCCTATTCGTGAAGAAATTGATTCACCATCTGTGACATCCACCCGTTAAGTCTCCAGACCCAGTAGGTAGTGGCACCCCTTCCCCCTTCTCTCTTATGTAGGCCCTTTGCAACAGGGTGCCCCCCTATTCTGTCCGGCATCCTATAAAGTAGCTAATGTCCCACTAACAGTGTCTGCTGCCCCACTCTCATCTCTAATCAAGAGTCAAAACCTCTTCAGGAGCAGAAGTAGATGTGATCGCCAATGTTTAAAAAGTTTTGAGAGCAGTAGTGTCTCTAGAGTACACCGCGTATATATTTGTACTTGCTCTCCTCTTAATATATGATAATATTAATGTATTACATTTTTTTGCCCTTATTTCTTCAATAAGTCCAATCCAAAGAGTACATATAAATATATAAATGTAATTATTTATTATTGATTTAATGTAATAAAAAATAATGCAGTTAGTTAAAAATTCTGTGTAATGGTCTCACAAAAGAGTAGTTCAGTAT